CTGAAGGGGGTAGCCCACCTGCCCTGCCGCCTCCCAGCGGACCCCCGCCAGAGCAGCCTCGGAAGACCGAGGCGCCCCCGCCGTCGCCTCCGCAGGGCCCGCGGCTCTGGCCCCGCTCCAGCGGAGCAGGCAGAAAGCAAGGTAACGCCGCTCTCCATCCGCCTCCGTCGCAGCCCTGGGCCGCCCGAGACCCCTCCTCCTCAGGCAGGGCTGGTCCTTCCAAGGACCCGAGGCCAAGTGGGGAAGCTGGACGCGGGCTGCTGGCTGGGGGGAACCGAGAATCGGTGCGGGGGGGGCAAGTCTCGGGGCTGATGCCTGCTTTCCCTATCAGCGTGTCACTATCTGAAGCATCCCCGTCGCTTTGGGGATGGCGTTCCCCACTGGCTTTGGAGGAGGTGGGCCTGCGTTTGCAGCGGTGCGGGAGGCGGATTGCCACAGACCCCACAAGACGGCCCAAAGCCTAGGCTGCGCCTGTGTTTTGGAACGGCCGCGCTGATCAATGCACATCCTTCGAAGGCTTGGGGTGGGGGAAACAACATGATGGAAAATTCATTTATTCAATCCATGTATATGGCTGTTCTGTGTTGTGGCTCTGTGAGGTTAATCTTGGGTTCTGGAAAAAACGAAGAACAGAAGCCCCAACAGAACACAATGCATTGGAGGCTACCTTCGCAGGACCCCCATAATCAGAATTCGAGACCAGGGAGGTCACTGCCCCCAAACAAAAACGAGATCTAACATGGGACCTCCTGGGTGTGCTGGGCCCTCAATAAACGGGGCCTGCTCCATGGCTGCATGGTGGCCATAACTCCTGAACGGCCTCTGAGCCCCACCAGGGAAGGCAGCTTGAGGTCCCCCAAGCCATACGTCTGGGGAACACCATGGCCCACCTAGCCTCAGCCTAAGCGGCTCGCCCAAGGAGGCGGGTACCCAAGCCGCGATCCCATCTGGTCCCAACAACCCAACTTCACCAACAGGATCTCACATCCAGGTATCTGCAGAACTGCTCCCCAGGAAGCCACAAGAGAATCAACACTGTGGGACTTCCCACCCCGTTGGATGGCAAGCGCTAAAAACATCACCGTCTCCGTTTTCCCCCATTATTACCCATAGACAAAATATAAACATGTCAGGGTTCATCTGGTGGCTAGACAGACGTTAGATGTCATCATCCCTGCCCTTCTATTTTAGGAAACGGGAGTGGTGCGCAGAAAGTAAAAATAAGGAGTTTCTCTGGGAAGTAAACACCAAATGTGCAAGAGGTGCAAAAAAAATTATGCATGTCTGAATTAATCTGGTTCATTCCATTCACCTCTCCCCAGAGCGCACACCTGGGGCCCGAAATTCCCTAGGGGAAGCACATGGCTAAGGATCTTCACCAGGGTTCAGGATCCTTTGGAAGAAGCCGTGATAGTCACACCATTAGAAAACCAGTATTCTTTGTCCTGCAACTTCAGATACTACCTTCTTCCCTGGGGCAGGGGGTTTCATAGCCACACGTCTGCCCTCCCATTAAACCAGGGGGATGCAAGGTGGGCCTGATTCCAGCCAGCGCCGTTCCCGAGAGAGGTGAAGTAACAAAGAGACTTCTGAACATGCTTCAAGCGCTCTTCTCTCCCCACAGCCCTTCATGGGATGGGTTTACAAGATCAGCCGTGTGCATTTATAAATGAGTGGAACTCAGCAAAAATAGATTGCAGCTCTGGAGGCCAATTAAAACATAAACGAACTGCAGCACAAGCAACAAGGGAATTCTTGACTCTTTTTGTAGGGAGAAGCCCCCAATTTCTGGGGGAAAACAAATGGAACTCAGAGCTGGGCCAAATCCGAACACAAGAAGAAGAAAAGCATGAACAATTTAAAAAAGAAAAAACTTTCCATTCACCATTATTTCCTTGTGGAGCTTTGAAACAGGCTCCTGCTTCAAATGCATTTTTTTTTAATTTAAAAGTTACCAACACGAAAATCTTGGTCACCCTGAGTCTTATTTACCCCGAAGGCAGTCACAACCTGAGAAGCTACCGGACCTTCCTTGGCCCACTCAAACTGGGGGAACGCTGGACTTTCTGCAAGAATTCTGGCTAACATGTCAACCATCAGCCCCGAGTAGTAAGTATCCTGCAACCGAGAAGGACCTGTGGCTGGGAGGGACTTATCTGCGTCCTGCCGAGCATGATGCTGGATAAAGAGAGTCACATATGTGACGGGCGGCTATTTACTAAATTGAAATACATGCATGC